CTTTGCAGCCTTGTGCTCAGATTGCTTAAGCAACCCAGCTCTTCCTTTTTCATTGGTACCTTTTTTCACATCTCCAATCTTTTGTGCATGCGCTTTAGCAACAATAAAAATTTTAGTGTACAGGAAAATCATTACAGTGCACGAAAAGAAAAAGGAAAGTATACTGTCCAGGATTCCCCAAAGGTGGTTAAAGAGAAGATAACAACTACCAAGGCAGTAAATTGATTCTATGTAATCCTCCAACCCAGCAACACTTGCTTTTGAGTAAAGCAATCCAAAACAGTAGACAGCAGCCAGTGCCCAGCTGCAACATACCATAATCCAGGCCACTGGCATTGTGATCTTCATGGAATAATGCATAGGATCGCATATAGCTTCATGTCTGTCTACAGCGATGCAAATGAGATGAAAGATAGAAAGAGTGGTGAGAAACATATCAAAACTGGAGTGCAACTGACAGAAAACTTCCCCGTAAAACCAGCAGCCATGAACAGTTCTGATGGCACTGAAAGGCATCACAATAACACCAACTAGTAGATCAACCAGAGCAAGAGATAAAATAAGCACATTGGTAGGATTATGCAGCTGCTTGAAATGGCTAATTGACACAATGACAACCGTGTTTCCTAAAATGGTTATACCCATGCTTAAAGCGAACAACATAAAGAGGGCAAACTTGGTCCCCACACTGAACTGTGTCCTAACACATGATACATTAAAGCCTGGAAAACAGTAATGCTCTTCAGAAAGGCCACCAGTCATCATATAACCTTAGACGCAAAGACCTCAAAGACAACCCAACAGAGAGTGGGCGATGAGACAAACATGCTGAAGTCTTAATGTAACTGAAAAAATGGTTGCAAAGCCACCCACCAATCACGTGATTCATTGTGCCAACAAATCAAAAGCTTGCAGGTAAAATACATAAAAAAAAAGTGTAATAGTTATGATTATGTCATACTCTCTCAAGGGACTGGCAGGTCTTTCTTCAGTGAATTGGAAAAGAGTTATAACTCTATAAACTCTATAAATTATGTTGTCATTTTTCCACAGACATGCTTAACATGAACTTGTCTCTTTGGGTAGTTTTAAGCATAAACTATAGACCATGTTAAGGCAAAACGCCCTGCAAGGTTAAGTTTAGGATCATCATCAAAGGGTGGTTAAAAATAAAAACTTGACATTGTTCTCTGGCTGCATGAGTTGTTTGACTGATCTGTTGCTCCAATCAGGCACAACAGGCTGATTATTAGGGCCCGAGCACGAACGTGCGAGGACCTTCTTGAAACCCTAGCGATTATTATTTTTCTCGTTCTTTTTATTGTTCTTTGCGGCCACTTTTAAGGGCCTGAACGTGCCAGAAAACTCTGCAAACTTTCCACGCTCATCAGGTCTCGTGAAAAATTTGATATTTTGGTGGTTTCGTAAATGGAGTTCACAAAATGGCTCATTGGTGCCCCCTTGAAATTTTCAAAATGGCCTCCCCATAAAGGGTTTTTTTCACGTACACTCACGTAAATTGGTAGGCATATTAAGCTTGTCAGGACGGACTAAAAATCCTCTTGCAGCGTTTCAAAAAACCCAACAGGAAGTCCCCAAGTTAAAGTTGAATTTCACAATAACGGCCCAAAAAGGAAGTTACTGCTTCTCAATTAGCATTAGCCATTGCTACACGGTAGCTAATTTCCCCCTCAAAATTGGTGTGGATCATGCTAACACCTTGGCCATACAAGACTTTCAAGCTCAAACGCCTACGTCTAACGCTGTCGCCATACGGACGTGTCGCTCGCCATCAAATAGGAAGTAGTTTTTTTCACAGGCTTAACATAGTCGTACTGTCCCAAAACTTCATACATATAATCCTGGTAGTAAAGTCAAACATCTTATACCGTTTAAGTGAGTGGGCGTGGCTTAATGGCTCAGTGGCGCCCCCTACAATATTTCAAACATTCAGCCCTCGCAGCACGTTGAACCTACAATTCTGAATTTTACTATGCATTTCCAACATGACAAAACCTACAAAAAACCCTCTACAAAACTCAACAGGAAGTCCTCAAATCACATCGTCATCAAACAGGAAGTGATTGTAACTCTTATATACTTTGTCTGATCTTCTTGAAATTGCATAGGTATGATCAGGGTTGGCCTCTTGAACACAGTGACACAAAACAATAATAAAGTTTAACCATAGCGCCCCCTAATGCAAGGACTAAGTACTACATCATACATACTTTCTCGGATCTGCTTAAAATTTCCCAGGTATGATCAGGGTTGGCCTCTGGACACATTGACATAACAATCATTTACTTTAACCATAGCACCCCCTACTTCAAGGAGTAAGTACTACATCCTATGTACTTTGTCTGATCCGCTTCAAATTTCACATGTATGATCAGGGTTGGCCTCTGAACACATAGACATAACAATAGTCAACTTTTACCATAGATAGATAGATAGATAGATAGATAGATAGATATACTTTATTGTCTGTCCCAACAGAGACAGAAATTCTCCTTTGACAAGGCTTGAAAAATAAACACAACTTACATTAATAACAGAAAGTGTAGTACATTAAAAGAGGACTTAAAAACAACAGTTTCTAAAAAGGGGAGGTCTATTTGATTTTGTTCAGAATGGTTATTGCAGAGGGAATTAAGGATTTCCGGGCCAGAGGAATTTTGTAGCATCTGACTGATGGCAGTAACTTGAAGGATAGCGCCTCCTACTGCAAGGAGTAAGTACTACACAATGCTCAATTTGCTCCCAATGTCACAGGTATCATGACAGTGCCAGCCTGAACTGCTCTACGTAAACATTTTCTGTGATCTTCATTACGCTGCCTATTTCAACATGCCAGTATAACCACTTTTTCACAAATTGAACTGCACGACCTGCTACTTAGCCACGTTCCGCAGCTGCTGCACTCCTGTGGTCGTGACACACCCCGACATGCACCAGGGTGCAAGGGCCCTTCATCACCACTTGCGGTTTTAATTGCTCTTTATAATCCAATTTTCTGAGCAGTTCTGTTTACATCTGAATTGAATTAAATTAATTTAAAGCTTTCATTGTTATTGTTAAACAGGGTCCCACCTTACCTAAAGACTCTTCAACTATTCCAAAATGCTGCAGCTCGTGTACTGACTTGAACTAGGACAAGGGACATATTGGCTTATCTGCACTGGCTCCCTATAAAATCTTGAATATCATTTAAAATCAATCTTCTCAGTTACAAAGCTCTTAATGGTCAGGCGCCATCTTATCTTAAAGAGCCAATAGTGCCATATTACACTCCCAGGGATGCAGTTCAGCTTGTGGTACTTACAGTCTCTAAATGTACTATGGGAGGTAGAGTCTTCATTTATCAGGACCCTCTCCTTTGGAATCTTCTACCAGTCAGGGTCTTGGAGGCAGACACACTCTGTATTTAAAAAAAATAGACTTAAAACATTCCTTTTTGATAAATCTTATAGTTAGGGCTGGTGCAGGTATAGACCAGCTCCTAGTTATGCTGCTATAGGCTTAGACTACCGAGGGAACTGTCTCTCTCTCTCTCTCTCTCTCTGTGCATTCACAGACTACCGAGGGAACTGTCTCTCTCTCTCTGTGCATTCACATCATATTACTTCAGGTTGCTATCTATATATCGTTTTCCTGTGAGCTTCTGAGCTCTCAGGTCCTTTAGGTACCTCTGAATTGTTGGTGAGCACGGCCTGCTGCTATAGACCCCTCCCCCCTTCCTTGCCAGCAGCCCAGGAGGCCTTGTCTTAGCAGCAGAAGCAAGGCTGTCAAGTAGACGGGAGCTCCCCAAACGTTCAGCGAGGTGATCTGGCACTACAACCACACGACGTCCCTGATTCCCAGCCACCACCATCGGACTGTGTCCTCCCATTACCACCACCTGACGTCCAGGGTTAGGGTTAGACTCAAACTTTATGAATACATACCCGTCTCTGATTTAAACAAAATACTTTTATTTATTTATTTTTCTAGCTGTATGGATGCAGCTTATTTTAATGCTGCAGATAAAGTCCTGATTTTGAAGGAGGGTTAAATATCTATCTGATCTTTGGCTTAAAAATCAGGTCTACAAATGTCAGGGATTGGTGATCCATGCTCTTTTGTTCATGCATTAAATGTACACATGGAGGCAAGCTGCAGAACATTCAGCACATATGGGGGACACACTAGAACAAGATGTGGATCGGTTTTCAACCCTTTCTACTTTCGATTTAGTTTTTTGGACCACTTCATGACCCCTTCCCAACCCTTTATTATTCATGTTTATGGTATTAACTGTTTTCAAACTAATGTTTAGTGTAGAGAATGATTGCACACTTCAGTGTAGGATAGCATGTGATACGTTTTTGAAAATTAAAGAAACCATTCTGAGTTATCGTTCTTTTTTAATGACCTAGTTCGTTACTGAGATCATTGCTAAAAACAACTCATTAAAACATTTAAAGTTATTATGACTCATACCATCTCCAGAAAAGTGCAAAAATCAGCATGAATTGAAATTCTGCATAAATAAATGTGCCTATTTAAGACACCATTAACATTTGGTCAAAGATGTTATAACAATTTAATTAACTGGATGTACAATGGCCTTGTGATAAACAAATAACTGGACAGAAAAATAATGATGTTGATTATAATGTAGAATTCAATGTTAAAATTTAATTTCATTATTCAGTCTTCATAGCATTTGAAAATGGGAAAACTGTCATATTAAAAAAGTATAGGTGCCCCGGGAAATGCAGCAATGACTGGCTCTGCATAAGTCATAGAAGATGCAGAAAGGAAAATGAAGGAGGGATTTTGAAAATCCATCATCCGAGTTTCATTGAAAAAAGGCAAATAGTATCATCTGAACTTGCTTTTTTTGCAAAAATAATACATGAGGACATAACTATGTAAGAGGATACACATTTATGATTGAGGAATGTTTTCAGGTTTACAACGAGGTAAAAGCATTTCTTAAACTTCTTAAAGCTGTGTCATTTAAGAGATACATTCATGGTTGAAGAATTTGGGCTAAATATTTTCAGTGTGATGATACAGTAGAAACACTTTTTGAAGCAGGGATAAAACAAGGCATAAATAATTGGATTCAAGGTTGAATTAAAATAGCCCAACCAAACAAATGTTTCAAAGACAGCAACTGGTGTGCTAAAGCCATTGTATGCATCACCTACTGAATTTAAAAAAAATGGCATCCAACAGAAGATGAATGCACCAAGCACAATTCCCAAAGTCTTTGCAGCCTTGTGCTCAGATTGTTTAATGACCCAAATTCTTCCTCTGTCCTTTGAAGAATGTTTCACATCTCCAATCTTTTGTAAATGCTCTTTAGCTACAATAAATATTTGAGTGTACAGGCAAACCATTACAATACAGGGAAAGAAAAAGACAATAATGCTGTCCAGGATTCCCCAAAGGTGGTTAAAGAGAAGGTAACAACTTCCAAGGCAATTAATTGATTCTATGTAATCCTCCAACCCAGCAACATTTGCCTTTGAGTAAAGTAGTCCAAACGAGAAGACAGCAGCCAGTGCCCAGCTGCAACATACCATAATCCAGGCCACTGGCATTGTAATCTTCATCGAATAATGCAGAGGATCGCATATTGCTTGCTGTCTGTCTACAGCGATGCAAATGAGATGAAAGATAGAAAGAGTGGTAAGAAACATATCAAAACTGGAGTGCAACTGACAGAAGACTTCCCCGTAAAACCAGCAGCCATGAACAGTTCTGATGGCACTGAAAGGCATCACAATAACACCAACTAGTAGATCAACCAGAGCAAGAGATAAAATAAGCACATTGGTAGGATTATGCAACTGCTTGAAATGGCTAATTGACACAATGACAACCGTGTTTCCTAAAATGGTTAAACCCATGCTTAAAGCGAACAACATAAAGAGGGCAAACTTGGTCCCCACACTGAACTGTGTCCTAACACATGATACATTAAAGCCTGGAAAACAGTAATGCTCTTCAGAAAGGCCACCAGTCATCATATAACCTTAGACGCAAAGACCTCAAAGACAACCCAACAGAGAGTGGGCGATGAGACAAACATGCTGAAGTCTTAATGTAACTGAAAACATGGTTGCAAAGCCACCCACCAATCACGTGATTCATTGTGCCAACAAATCAAAAGCTTGCAGGTAAAATACATTAAAAAAAAAGTGTAATAGTGACAATGTATTATTAATTTTTAAATGATAGATTCAGTAGCTTTTTCCTAAAAAGTACAATTTACAAATTTACAAAAGTAATACCACTCAATAATCACTAATGGGCATCCATTCATGTCGGGTGGTGACTGTGTCCGAAGAGACTCTGTCCTCTTCGTTGGTATTTTGATGTTTTGTTTCTTGTTAGTTCTGGTTGCCAATGGGACTTTTCCTGGCAGGGAGCTTGTGTGCTACCCCCAAAGACAGCCTTCGGGTTATTTCAGGAGTGGACACAATTCAGCCATTGAGCGCTTTTCAAACCGGTGAATATGACAGACGTGGTCATATAGCAAAGAAGACTAAATCTATTCATAGTGAAGCGAAACGCATGTTCAGGGTCTTTGCTGTCAGAAATGTATTTATTCCTTGTTTTTTCCACGGCTTAAGAAATGCTTTTACATCATTGTAAACCGGAACATTTTAAATGCTTCATTATTATTTTTGCATTGTTGTGTTCAGATGATACCATTTGACTTTTTTCAATGGAGCTCACAAGATGTCTATTTTTTTCTTTCCTTCATCTTCTATGGATTATGCAGAGCCAGTTATTTTCCCCAAGCACACATTTAAAATGTATTGTAATAGTCTTGTTAACCTATTTTCAAACATTGTAAAGGCTAAAGAACTAAATTTGATTTTAACATTGAATTATATTCTATAATCCACATCATTATTTTACTGTCACACTTATTCGCAAATCACAAGGCCTGTGTACAACTAGTTGATTAAATTGTTACAACACCTTTGGCCAAATGTTAATGTAGCCTTATATAGGCATATTTATTAAATGCTAAATTTCCTTTTTTTTAAATACTCACTTTTGGACTTTTCTGGAGGTGGTATATAGACTAATATGTTTAAATTATTTAATTTTCTTTTTTACAACAATGATCTCAATAATTAACTGGGTAATAAAAAAAGTTAACTAAGAATGGCTTCTTATATTTTCCAAAAAGTATCACCTGCATTGAAGTGTGTAATCAATCTTCACACTTACGGCTGGTTCAAAACAGTAGACCTTCGAGACACTTATTTTCATGTCCCCATCGTTCAAGAACACAGGCTGTTCCTCAGGTTTGTTTTTTGAAGGGTTACTTCACCCATTTGCATTACGCTTTGTATCATTAGAAACCTGGTAGTATTTTTGAATGGTCGTGCATCCCACCCTCATTTTCCATTTTCCTCATTTCTAAGTCTGAAAAGGAACTTCCGATGACGCAAAAATCGTCATTTTGTGTCATCGGAAGCTGTTGCGGTTAGCGGAGGTGAAACTACAACGCTAGTTCCTCATATTTTCCACCACTGAAGCTACAATCACAGATTAGTGGGTCGGCTCAGGCCGGCTCGAGCTGGGGCAGACTGGTAGTGTCGGTGCTCTCACTGTTTGCCTATGGACACAGACATAGAGTCTGTTTTCTGCCAGGAATTTCCAAGATGAATTCTGGAAGAAATCTCAGAATCAGTTGAGGAAATGACCTTATGTGTTGAAGTAAATATGTCTGTAAATGTTTTTATTACTATATTTCTACTGCTATACTGTATATTTTGGAGAAACTGTAACGATCAAATTTCCCTCTGGGATTAAAAAAGTATTTCTGATTCTGATTCTGAAATCGAGGACCTTAGTGGGAGTGGCCTGCGGTGCTGTGCATTCTAGGATTTGGTGTCTTTCATCCACATGAGCCAAAAAGACACTTTCTGCCTTTTCTCGGCCAAGAAGGCACCAACTTCAAAATTGATTTCACATTTCTACTCCATATATGACCCAATGTCAATACAGATTCATGTTTCAACGGGTGAAGTATGCCTTTAAGGTTGTACAATGTCTGCCCCTTTCATCTTTCCCTTTCCCTACGCACATTCACAAAATGTATGGATGCTGCTTTCATTCCTCTGGGGACAAGTGGCATTCGGGTATTCAACTACCTAGACAACTGACTTGTTTTTACCCCATCAAAATTTCTGGCACATAGGCACACAGCAGAAGTGTTGGCTCATTAGGTGTTGCTTGGGCTACATCTTGATGTTGAAAAAAGCCATCTATACACCCCCAAATCAGCTGTCTGGGAGCACAGGTCTGTTTTGGGTCACTGGGGTCATGCATGTGAACCTGCTCAAGATTGAGGCGTTTTACATGGCTCTGTGACACTTTCTACCTGTTTTACAAGGGAGGCAAGTTATGTTGAGAATGGACAGCATGGCAGTGGTGTCTTACATTAACATGCATGCAAGAGCTCTTTGGCTGCTTTGAGGGCACAGTCCAAGGGCTTTCTAACTTTCTGTCCTCCACACCTTTCTGCTGAGGATGTATGGCTTCACAATCTGTGCCCAGTGAGGGTTCTTGGGCACTATGTTGACTGTACAAAGTCTTTTCAAATGTCTGATGTATGTTTTGTGAAGCACAGAGCCTCTACGATGGGTAGAAGTCTCTGTCTCTAAACACTGTCTGGTCCATTGGCTAGTTAATATGATCTACGTGGCTAATGCGTGGATACTAGATTGATTGATTGATTGATTGATTGATTAAATTTATTTCAGACATATCTAATAAAATCAAACATATCAAAAATACAAAACAAAATGAAAAGCACGAAAATACAATAAACAAAAAAACAATGTTCAATTTATTTCACAAAAAAAGAAAAAGAAAATTACATATATTCAATATGCCTGAAAAGGAGTAGGAAGAAGTATAGAGTTCTAGAGTGGATACCCTTTCCAGGCTCTCAGCACATTCCACATATACAATGTTATACATTGCTTTTCTAGTCTATCTTCTAACTACTCAAGGTGATTTTACACTGCATGTCACACCTACCTATTCACACCCATTCACACATTGATGGCAGAGGTTGCTATGTGGTGAGACCATCAGAAGAAACTAATCCCATTCATATGCCAAAGATGAATTCAGGGTTAAGTGTCTTGCCCAAGGACACATCGGACATGTTGCTGCAGGAGCTGGGTATTTGAACCCTTGACCTTCCGGTTGAGAGATGATGACTCTACCAACTGAGCCACAGTGGCCCCAGTTGTGCAGTGCTGCTGGCTGGGCATCCTCATCAACCTTTGCCAGGTTCTACAGATTAAACCTGGCTTCATCCATTATGTCCTTCTCTGTCCTTGTTGCAGCAGATGGTTGAGTTTTCATGTTTCCCTACTTGGGTCGTCCTTTTGTTGGCATTCCAAGCGGAGATACATGCTCGTGAATATCATGTTCATTTTGGGCCTTGCTTTCAAGGGAATTTTGTTTTCACAAACGTTATCATCTGTTGAAAATAAATTTATTGAGTTCAACTGATTGTGTTCTGTTGTTTTATTAAAATTGACGGACTCTGTATGGACTTTGACCTGTGTCAAAGGGAAAATGGCTTTTTTATAATTACAAAGGTCAGAGGACTCAAATTGATGCAGATCTTTATTCAAGCGTGGTCACCGCAAACGAGTCCTCGTCTCATCCTTGCTGCCTCACAGTTTCCATGAGAATCTTTTTATTTTTATTTAGTTGAGTGGCTGAAATGTGATATCATACAAATTCAATCCTCAAAGATTACATTTTGCAGCACATCTATCATATCAAAGATTCCAGTTAACTAACCATACATGAACTCAATATTCATCCAAGAACTCTTTGCATGAATGCAAGATTGTATACTTTTTAACAGTTTTACTGAACTGCTTGACTTGATGTTTACATTATATGTTTTAGCTCATATTGCTAATTAAGCTTTATACACCTTATAATGCAGCTACTTTTAATGCTCCTGATAAAGGCATCATTATGAAAGTTAGTCAAATAATCAGCTCTATTTCTAAGGCTTCAAGACAATTTTAAAATAATTGTGTATTACATGTATTAAGCACTGAAGGCTGAAAAACACATCTGATCTTTGGCTTCAAAATCAGTTTTATAGATGTCAGAGAATGCTTGTTTTGTTCCTGTATTAAATGTACACATGGAAGCAAGCAGCAGAACATCTGGCACAGACAGGAGGCAAACTAGTACAAGATGTGGACCTTTAATCAACCCTTTGCACTTTCAATAAAAGGTCAAGTTTTTATGTACCACTTCAAATGTTTTAGCCCACATGTTTAATATTAAGATTGATTGATCTTTTGCTATTCTTTTTTTATTATCCAGTAATGTCAGTTTGAAAAAAAAAAAAGAATAATTAAAGTAGTGATACAATGTAAGCATCATCAGAAAAGTGCACAAAGCAGCAGAAAAGGAAATTCTGCATTGAATAAACCAGCCTATATAATGTAACATTAACCTTTGGTCAAAGGATTTTATAAATTTGTCTTTACTGTCTGTGGACAGTAAAATAATAATATTATTTTATACACTACCAGTCAGAAGTTTGGACACACAAAAGTAATAGTATTATCAATAACACAGTATACTACATGACTATAATATGGCTACTGTAAGCTCTATCTAGGGCATACAACTGATATTTATTTGTACTATTTTCCACATGTAAGAAAAAAAGTATTAAATTTATAAAAATAAAACATTTTATATCAGTTTTGTTTTGGAAAGAAATGCATACATATGTAGTCATACACTTCACTTTTTCTATTTATATAAGAAACACATCAAACATTTTAACATAAGCCTTTAGATCAAAATGTCTTTAAGATAATGACATTGTTACAGTTCGGTGTGTAAAACAACGAGTAGAGGTGGACCCAAGTGCAGAATGAAGATAAAGTCTTTAATAAACAAAAAGGCAAACAAAAACTACTTCCAAGATTCAACAAAAAACACAGGGATCAAAAACAGGTAGCCACAGTGGAGCACGATCAAAAACTGACATACCAAGGAACGACATACCACCACATACAACAACATGCAACAATGAACTGACACAGAAGGGAAGAAACACAGAGACTAAATACACAGGGGAATCAGACACAGGTGAGACTAACAAGACACAGGTGAGGACAATCAGGGCAATCACACAGGGAAACACACAGAGGCAGGAATACAAGAAACACTGAGGACACACAGAACTCAAGACAGAACAAAACACACTAGAACATGAAGAAACACTAAACACTGAAAAACAAAACTAGAAAAGACCAAATCATGACAGACATGCATTTCAATCAAGTGTGTCCAAGCATTTGAAAATGTAGCATTAACTGGCTCTCTATAATCCATAGAAGATGCAGAAAAGAAAATGAATGGGACATTGTCTCTTTGAAGTTTCATTAAAAAAGGCAACCGGTATCATCTGAACATGCTCTTTATGTAAAAATAAGCAAAACAGAAATACTGAAACTTGTTGTCATAACTGTGTCAGAGTATGCACCTTTATGGATGAAGAATTGGGGCTAAATATTTTTAGGTTAATAATGAGGTAAAAGCATTTCCTAAACCAAGGATAAAATAAGGCATAGATAATTGGGTTCAAGGTTGAATTAAAGTAGCCCAACCAAACAAATGCTTCAAAGACAGCAACTGGTGTGCTAAAGCCAGTATATGCATCTGCTATTGAATTTAGAAAAAAAGGCATCCAGCAGAAGATGAAAGAACCAAGCACGATTCCTAGAGTCTTTGCAGCCTTGTGCTCGGATTGTTTAATAAAGCCAATTTTCCCTCTCTCATTTGAAGAACTTTTCATATCTCCAATCTTTCGAACGTGATCTCTAGCAACAATGAATATTTTAGTGTACAGGCAAACCATTACAATACAAGGAAAGAAAAAGGCAATAATGCTGTCCAGGATTCCCCAAAGGTGGTTAAAGAGAAGGTTACAGCTGCCAAGGCAGTAAATTGATTCTATGTAATCCTCCAACCCAGCAACATTTGCCTTTGAGTAAAGTAGTCCAAAAGAGTAGACAGCAGCCAGTGCCCAGCTGCAACATACCATAATCCAGGCCACTGGCATTGTGATCTTCATGGAATAATGCAGAGGATCGCATATAGCTTCATGTCTGTCTATAGCAATGCAAATTAGATGGAAAATAGAGACACTAGTAAGAAACATATCAAAGCTGGAGTGCAACTGACAGAAGACTTCCCCATAAAACCAGCAGCCATGAACAGTTCTGATGGCACTGAAAGGCATCACAATAACACCAACTAGTAGATCAACCAGAGCAAGAGATAAAATAAGTACATTGGTAGAATTATGCAGCTGCTTGAAATGGCTAATTGACACAATGACAACTGTGTTTCCTAAAATTGTAATCAGCATGCCTAAAGAAAACAATAAATAGAGGATGAATTTGGTCCCCACACTGAACTGTGTCAGGACACAAGAGGCATTAGACTCAGGAAAACAAAATTGCTCCTGAGAAAATCCAACTACCATCATGAACTAAAAACATATACCAATACATTAACTGAGATAAAGAGGCATGCGCTGGGGAAGTATGTAGAGAGGCTATCTCGGTCTTGTAATAAAAAATACAGTGTCTTAGCACCGCCTACCCTGTGTCACATATTTGGCCATCCAATCGAAAGTTCTTTGGACAATGAAAATCATGAATAAACAGTCTGTCACACACTATTCAATTTGGGAAAATTTGTTAAAAAGTAGTCAGGAATTTTACAGTTTACCAAAGTCAAATTCCTTGTGTGTTTAAGCATAACTGGCAAACAAAGCTGATTCTTATTCTGATTCAACAAGGTAAACATTTATTGTTATATAAATTATTACATTAAAAAAATATGCCATACATCTTGAAAAATAGAAAATATACTGTATATATATTCAAGGCATGATTGGTGGGTGGGTAAACACTGCTGTAAGTTGTATATATCCGCTGAGCACATGCAAATCATGTGTGGCCTTGTATGTGTTAAATCAAAATGTTCAGACTGGTTGAAACATAAAATCCATTTGGTTCACTTTCAGACTATTTACAATTGCTCCCACCATATTGGAAGATTACTGGAGGTTATATTACTGGCTGAACAGAGAACATCAACATCGAAATTGACTGGATGCATAGAGCATCCAGTCAATTTCAAAATGAAACACAATCAACAGACTCCTGTTCATTATCCTATCACGGTATCAACAAAACAGGCACCAAATTCACAGCCAATCGATCATAGAAAGACAAAGTAACCTGTTTTTCGCACGTTGTTTTCTTTATTACCGTGCAACCTTGTAGTTGTCCTGTGATCTTGTGAGCCTGCGAGTGCTCATGACTGTGGTTACCTTTCAGATACAGACCCAGTAGGTCAGGCAGTGCCGTCAGATTGAACAAAACCATGGAGGAAATGGAAAAGGGATCTCGTGAATAGAACTCATTTACTTTATTGCTGTACAGCAATTCACTTTTATTGGGAACATTGACACCCGCTCTGTCATGTGGAGGAGGCAGTGTCACTTGGTCAGTGAGCGTGTAGATCTGCCTCGCTCTGCTATTCAAGTGTCAAAGGGAAACATGTAGAATTCCGGGATTCAATCTGAGCTGTTGTATATCACAAATCTCTCTTTTACGCTACTTTTATCTACCTACCACCGTGGTTGGCAGGTTGAGCTATCGGTGGCATCAATGTTGCCCCATGTGTGCACAACAACCAAATGTGTGTAATTAAAACATGATGACAGTGTTGCAAAAATCTATTTCATGGCAGAACGTTATACAAGTGACAGTACTGACATGGGTTTACTATTCGACCCCAACTCAGAGTAAAGCTTTGTTTCCTTTATAACAAAATGAGCCTGCAGAGGGTGTTATGATCTGATTTATCCCAAGTGCCCTCCTTTGGAAGTTTTCCAGGAAGATTGAACCAATAGGACAACCCTGGTTGGTCCTAGAACAAGCTAGGATGAAGTTATCCCATCTGGCGAGGGAACATCTTGGAATACTCCAGTAGGAGCTTGAAAACATTGCTGGAAAGATATACAATTGTCTAACTGCCCTGACCTGCTTTTATGGGATATGGATGAATGAATAAATAAAATATTTATTTTTGGGCTCTTTGTGCCTGGATAGATAGGACAGTGGATATAGAGAATGGGTAATGACATGCGGGAAATGAGCCACAGGCTGGATTTGAACCTGGGCCACACTAACCACTGCACCACCAGCACCCAAATAAATGCACATTTGACAAGTGTTTTCAAACTACGTTCTTGGAAAATCAGACCTTGGTGAGAAAAGGGCAGTTAGACCATGACTGACATTAATAAAATCTGGTCCTCAAACGTTGTCCAATTTGATAGAATATATTCCCCAGTTATTATTTTTTTATGTTAAGATCCAACCATATCACCTTCCTAGAAAAAATGTCCCACTGGTAGTCTTAACTTATAGCAACAAAGCTAAGTGCAGGTCCATGTCAGGCCTGTGCCAGCCTATCTATAAACATTATCGAAAGGGAATGTTTTCAGCCTACTCCTAATGTATAGGATGTCTTCCTCCCAGGACCAAACTGGAAGATGGTTCATCAGAAAGTAGGCTTTTAATTGAATGCTCAATGAATGCCAGGGCTAACCGGACCTGAGCACATTTACCTCTTGTACACATTATAAGCACAGATCAGAACACTCACACTAGTCAAACAAACTGGACTTTAGGGTTGAAGCATGCTTGGGCACGGTACAGATTGTTTAGTATGAGTGTGCCCTAAGACTGCACTATGAGCACCGTAGATCTGTAAGATATGATGGCGCCTGCCCATCAATCGCTTTGTAAGTGAGTTAAAGATTTTAAAGTCAAAAACCCTGCTTAGAAATCAAAAATGCTTTTGCTTTTTCAGACAGGATGTGACTGATTTTAGCAGTCATGCAAGTCAAAAAACAATTATTATAATGTATTTTTCTGTGAAAGTTGAAGGATCATAGCCTTGTTTATACAGTGGTGGTAGAGGCAGATTGATGCCATTTAGGGATAATTCAAAAAGTCTCTCAGCTGTTAAGGCCACAAAACATTAACATATTTAAAACATGCATTTAGTTTTGGAAACTAAATAATTTGATGTGATTTCTTTAAAAGGGATAATTGAGTATCATCTGCATTATCATGGTTTAGTTTTGTATATTTGAGTTTCCCGTTTTATCCCAGTGTTGCTTGTTTCCCTTGTGTTAATGTTTTCTAGTGTTGATGGTTTCCTAGTTTTGGATTCAGTGTTTCCTGTTTTATTTTGTAATTTCTTATCCTCGTGTATCTCTGTGTTGTAGTGTGTTTAGTTACAATCTTGAGTTCTGTGTGTCTTTAGTGTTTCATGATTCAGTTTGTAGTTGTCCTCAGTGTTTCATGTATTGTATTCCTGCCTCTGTGTTCCTTCCCTTGTGTTGTCAGATCATTGTTGTAAATTCTGAGTAGTTGTCCATCAATGTCAGAGTTTCAAGTGTTTCCTTGTTTTACCTTTTTTGGATTTTGTTCTTGTAAGTTTTTGTTTTGCAATTTTCCTCTAGCCTTTTTGTTAAAATAAATCGTTTTTGTTAGTTTATTCTGTACTTGGGTCCACCTCTTTGTTTTCCCACATCTATGACATGCATAACAATATAAAAATGAACTGTTTCCAGATTATTTAATTTTAAGCCTGGCTGCAGGAGTTTTAAAATCCTTCCCAATTTTGAATTCTGGTGGCATCACACACATAAAGAGAATCTAAACACATGTGAAAATCTTGGCACATCACATACTAACAGGACTTTACAAAGAGTATCACCTCATGTGACCTCACGTAAACAATGGAGCCTGTGGTTTAATCAGGATTATAATGATTTGTGCTGAGGGGAAGAAAAATTACTGCTTATTACTGTCCCTCGTCTCTCATGGTTATTGTATTCACACACAACTTCCACCAGACCCCCTTCATGACGTAATTGTCAAGATGTTAAATTCTAAAAATCAAACATTTTTTTAAATAAACTGATCTCAGAGAAGATTGGGGATGTAACAGATCTATTTGAGCCAAATGGCACATTTACAACATCAATTCAGAATCATTTTGCTTGTAAAATAAATACTAACTACCCAAAAACATAACGAATCATCAGTTCAGTCATTGAAAAGTGTTGTCTCTGAAATGTCAGAGTTAAAGATGTTACCTGAGGTCAATAATTTAAAAGCCTTTCTGAACCAACTATAAAAGAATGCATATATTATAGGGTTCACAGCAGAATTTAAGAATCCCAACCATACAAGTGTGACAAAAAATGTTGGCGGTATTGAGTAACTAACAAAAGGATTGATGATGTTACAAACAAAAAATGGAGACCAAAAGCACAGAAAACCCCCCATTACAATAGCCAGGGTTTTAGTGGCCTTTGTCTGGCTTGTGTTTGATGTTTTTACTGAGTTCACACATCCTGCATTCTGAATGCTGCAAAATTGTCTACGTGCTACAAGGTAAATCTTAAGGTAAACACAAAGCATTATTATTCCGGGCAAGTAAAAGTTAATCACTGAGGAGACAGTACTAGACACTCCACTCATAAACACAACACATCCTCCTTCACATGTGAAGTGTCTGATGTAACCAGGACAGAGGTAATATAAGTTTACAATGGGCGCATCAGGAGTATCTGAAGGAGATTTAGGAGCCCTCTCAGTGGAATGTATACAATGGGGCCCCTGTATCCAGAGAGTTGCCCAGGGACTTCTGGACAAGAGATTGTATCTGTGACCTGAGTTGTCCTTTGAGTTTATGACATACATATGACATACATATGACTAAGACAGAAACCCCTGCAGTTGTATGAAGAGGGGTGTCCTGAAAACAAACAGATGTCCCTATGTTGTTCTCCTGTGAGGTGTGTCCATAAATACCAGAGTTTCTGTGTGTAAGGGAAGAGATCACTTTTGGCTGTGTCTCTCCCAGGTCGAACCATGGCGAGCCTGGCGATGCTGTAACTTGTTTGTCAATAAAATGATCATTATGTAAGCAAGTCAGTGTCAACGGAGAATTTCTTCATCATCAAACATGTCAACAACAAGGAAATCCACATCACATGCAACATGGTTATAATAAAACTCTTCAACACACAAAATATTTAACTTTAGAAAAATCATTCCAAAGCCTACAAGAACTGAAAAACTCCAACAGAGCAGGATCAGGATCAACACAACATTCATTGATATTTTACTTCTGTAAAGCAGAGGTTGGCAAACAGCGTAGTATCGGTCGACTGAAATGAATAACAGATTCAGAATTGATGCTGAGCACAACGTGATATCTGAACTTATTGAGACTTTACAGAAGAAGTCCCCAAAATACCAACAAGTCTCTATAAATCGAATCATTCCAGGAAACATGACTATTATCCCTAAAAGCAGGTCAGACACAGCCAGAGAGAATATCAGGTAATTTGTTGGAGTATGGAGCTGCTTAAAATAAGCCACTGAGAAAGTGACCAAAAGGTTTCCACACACTGTTAGGATGATTATGACCCCGAAAATGATGTAGAGGGTAACACGTAGGGGTATGGGATAACTTGACTTCAAACATGAAGTGTTTCTGGACTCAAAGCAGCGTTCTGGCTCCATCTGTTTGAAAGGAAACGAGAATTGAACGAAATAGGAATGGATTTTGTTGAGAAAAAGAGTAATGGGACTAAAATTTGGATTATGACCAGTGAATCAAAATCAGGTCTCAGCTGTCTATTTCTTTTGGTTCATGATTCTGCACACAGTTTAGAACTACTTTGTAAAACATTAGGTTTAATTAGGCCTACCCCATTGCTAATAGACAGTCTGCTCAATTACAAAAACAAACATTTCTTGACATTAATTTCATCTTCATAAAGAAATTAAAAATATGAGCATTACATACTGTACATATACATACACACAAATCCTACACTTACCTTTCATAGTTAGCAGGACAGTGTGGCCAGCAGAGCACAATCAGCCACAAATGAGGTCAGCTTTCTTTGTACCAAATGAGCTCTGCCTCTGTGGCCAGTAAATTCAGAGGCTAAATAAAAGACCTTCAGAGATGGAGGTTGGACAATCTGTCCCAGCAGACAGAAAAAGAGATACAGCAGGTAGTGAAGGTCCCTTCACAATTCAACAATGGGATTCTTAGCTGGAAGTTTTAAAGTAAATATTTTTAATGTTTGGCTGGAAGTTTTTTACAATTTACAATTTTTTTTTACTATTACATGCCACAGCAAGTAGCTCCCTGACCTGTCCAACCTGCCCAGTCAGTCTGCATGTGCAACATGCGACAGAGAAGATAATTATGGCTTGAGCGTAGTCTTATAGAGATAGTCCAGATTGTCATTTAAAGCAGAAATATTTAACGCTGTCATGCTGACATGTAGGGTTTAAAATTGGTTCTTAAATACAAATTTAAAACATTGAAGAGAGCAGTGTTCCCTGCCCCCTCCTCCCTATTATCAATCCTTATGCAGGTTGCCAAGTTTGGGACACTGAAGCTTCAGTGTTTAGCCAGCTCTGCATCAGTCTTGAACTTTTCTGCGTTCTAACCTCTTACCATTTTTCAAAAGCATTGCCTGCTTCCATCGCTTGCATTAAACGTCTACGGTGCAGCTGTGCAGGTTGTGTCTTGCCGCAGGTCGTCATTACTGTCCACTCATTACTGCCCTCCCTCGTCTCTTGTTGTTATCATATTCACACACAACTTCCATCAGACCCTTTCATGACGTAATTGTCAAGCTCTTAAATTCTAAATATCCAACATGTTGGAAATAAATTGATCTCAGAGCAGATTGGGGACATGGGGTTCATCTTTATACCAATAAAACTACAAGATAATCTGACCTGAGCAGCCTTGAGTCGGGAACGACCCCACGATTGTCTGGAAGGGGGAATTGGACCTCAAATCGGCCCTCTCCTGCAGTCTGAGCCAGGATCCAGGAAACATATGTGAGGTGAATAGATTTAGTCCAAGCTAAAACCTTAACTAACTTTTTGCAAGTATGAGGAACCCAGAATTAAAGGAGACTCAGTATTTGCTGCTGAGTTGAACCTATTTTTCAATAGGTTTGACACATCCCCTGACCCAGTGAGCTCAAATAGTGGGTCTAGGTCTCTCCCCACCACCTCAGCCCCCATTCACACCTCTGCTGGAGACTCTGCTCTTCCTCTTCCTCCCATCAAGGTCCTGACCCCCCCCTCTCAGCTCCTCATCAGCAGCTTCAAAGGACAGCCCACCCTCACCCTCACCCCCCTGCTCCCTTCCTTCAGGTACCTGCATGACAATAGACAGTTCCCCACACCCCTCCCCCGCTCACTGTCCCACTCTCACTCTTACTACCAGCCAGGTACAAAGAGAACTCTCCAGACTCCACATCAGAAGGAGTCTTTCAGCACCTCTTCAACCTCTCCCTGAGGCTGATGAAGGTGCCTGACCTGTGGAAGACCTCCTGCATCGTCCCGATACCAAAGAAAGGTCGTCCCAGCGCTCTCAATGACTGTGGCCTGTGACCTGTGGCACTCACGTCACATGTCATGAAGACATTTGAGAGGCTGGTTCTCCAGCACCTGAGGACCCTGCTCACTGCTTTCCAGGATCCGTTGCAATTTGCATATCAGAGGCACATTGGTGTGGAGGATGCTATCATCTTCCTGACCCACAAAGCCCTGTCACACCTGGAGACAAAGGGAAGCGCTGTGAGAGTCATGTTCTTTGACTTCTCCAGTGCTTTCAATACCATCCAGCCCTGCCTCCTGAGGGACAAACTGCTGGATATGCAGCTGCGCCCTGACATCTCAGCCTGGATCTTCAACTACCTCATGGGCCGGCCACAGTATGTCAGAGTGGACAGCTGTGTCTCTGATGTAGTGACGGGCAACACAGGAGTACCTCAAGGAACTGTTCTGGCGCCTTTTCAGGTTTAACTCTGGTTCCTGCCACCTCCAAAAGTTTTCCGATGACTCCTCCATTGTTGGGTGCATCACTGATGACGACGAGAAGGAGTACAGAGGACTGTTAGAGAGCTTCGTCACATGGTGTGAAAGCAACCACCTGAAGCTCAACATCAGCAAAACAAAGGAGGTGGTAGTGGACTACCGGAAGAAGAAGAGGCCCCCTGCCCCAGTCAGCATCCAGGGGGAAGAAGTAGAGAGGGTGGACTCATATAAGTACCTTGGGGTCCACATCAACAATAAACTGGACTGGTCTCACAACTCTGACGCCCTCTTCAGGAAGGGACAGAGCAGGATGTTCTTCCTGAGGAGACTCAGATCGTTCAGTGTCTGCAACAGACTCCTGAAGACCTTCTACCAGTCTGTGGTGGCCAGTGCCCTCTTCTTTGCTGTGGTGTGCTGGTGGGGTGGTATTAAGACTGGTGAGGCAAACAGGCTGAACAAGCTGGTGAGGAAGGCCCGCTCTGTAGTGGGTCTTGATCTGGACAGTTTGGAGACAGTGGGTGAGAGGAGGATGAAGGACAAAATCTTATCCATCCTGGATAACTCCTCTCACCCTCTACATGGTGAGCTGTGGCAGATGGGCAGCTCCTTCAGCCAACGCCTCATCCCCCCCCCAGGTGCAAAACAGAACGCTTCAGGCGCTCCTTTGTGCCCACTGCCATAAGACTGTATAACAGCAGCCGATGACAACAATAACAGCCCATCCTTGACACTAAACTTCACCCCCATAAAACACTACCCACATGACCTGCTTCATTATTATCATTGTATTATTGTATTATTATTATTACTTTGGTCAATATATATATACATATATATTGTACATTCTATATATTTTTTATTATATTATTACACTAGTCTATATTATATACCATTTCATTATATTACACTATATTGTTCATATTGCACTATATTATATTATATTATATTATACTACATTATATTATATAACTGCACTCTGCATTACTGTGGTACAACACTGCCTCTCTTCTCTGCTGTTTACATTACTTGCTGCTATTTATTTATCATACCAAGTCACTTTAATCATCACTTGTCACTTTATCTTGTCATTATCTGGTCATTCTCTTCAAATACTGTCTCAAAACTTCAACATTCATTTTTGTACTGTATATACCCCCTGTTTTTAATTTTAATTTTAATTTTAATTTATCTTATTCTATTCTGTTTAATGTGTATTTGAGCTTTCTTGTCTGTGCTGCTGTAACGCCCGAATTTCCCCTCTGGGGATCAATAAAGTACTATCCTATCCTATCCTAGTGCAGATTGTCATTTAAAGGGGCAATATGTAACTCTGACACGTAGGGTTTGAAATTGGTACTTAAAACTAAATTGAAAACATAGGAGAGAGATGCCCCCCCTGTCCCCATTGGTTAGTTGTTTCTATTTTAAATATAAATTTATCTTATCCTTGGGTGCATCAGTGACTCACTTCCCTTTGTTTTATATAATGGTCTTTATAAGTGATCATTGCAGGGGCGGTGGTCAGTTTGTATGTCCTCATGTAGGCCCCATGTACATAGGCTACAGTCCCCAAAGCAGGCAGCTTTGGTTTAAATCCAACCTGTGGCTCCCCGGCAGCATGCCATTCCCTACTTACTCACTCTCCCTGATTTCCAACTCTATCCACTGTCTTCTCTGTCATAAAGATATAATTATATAAGTGCCAGGCATTCATATGAACATGGTTGTTGTTGACAGAAAGGTAAAGCACAGAAAATATTTGTAATATATTGAACAATTAAACAGAAACATTTTGCTGGCTACAGCAGGAGAAAGGCATCTCAGCCTCACCAAGTTTATTATGTAGACAAATATTTTTTATTGTTATAATGTTCCAATTTTTATTTTTATTGGAGAAGCAGAGTAAGGTTTTCTGGCACAACTTCACCGACTACCAAGGTGCACGGAGAGTGATAGACTTGAAAAGGTTAAAATACTCCAGCAACACTTGTAGTATGAAGATCAATTGTATTAACTCTCTGAGACCGATGCTGCTTGTGGCCTTCATCAGGGTCCTCCTCAGAAGGCTGTAAGCCAGAAGGTGTCGGTCTAATAGAGTTAATACAATTGACCTCCATAGTTTTTTATTCAGCAGACTGTAAGATAAATTCACAACTCTTTAACAGATTGAACATGTATTCTTGGTTGGGCTAGATATTTTCATTCCTTCCTCAAAGGTGCCGCGGAAAGCTAAACAAGGAAGTGTCAAAGCATACCACGTGATGCGTCTGAACAAATCACGTTATCAGATACCAACACAAGCCAATGAGATTACATTCTTAGTGTTAAACCCCCCTTTGAACTTTCACTTTTCATTGCTGGTAGAAAGGAAGTGTCCTTATTTGGGTTACATAGTGTTGTGCAGGAGAGAGAGCTTTGCAGAGATATCAGTCATGACGGGCATTACGCCGCGATCAAACAAAAATATATTAAAGTATACACATAAATGTATAATTTGGATATTTGCTTTATGGTAGTTTGAAATATTCAGGGAGTGAACTAGCCCAAAATCTCAAAAATTGACCAATGCATAAAACATTTATATTTTTGCCTGCTGTGTCTCACCTTAGGATGACTATGAGTTATTATTATTCACTCATAAGGTTTTAGATAGGGTTATGATTTTTCAT